AACAGTCTGTCTCACAAACGGTTTCCAAAACATTAAAGCAACGTACAACCATAAAGAATCTTACCCTTCAAGTATTATGACGCAAAAGGTACTATATGGCGGAATACAAACGAACGGCAAGACCATATTTGATGGACGAACCGAACAGATATAAGACAACGAGTCTTAAGTTATGGCGTGAAGTTCATTCTTACAATGGGCTAAATAAAATTTTAATTTTATAGCTGGTGTCAATCTAACCATAATTCTGACCAGTCACACTGATTTAAAACCTTTATTTAGTCCAAATTCGTAAGTGGACACTCTCAAGGTCACGTTAGAATCGCCTAAAAGTCGTCCATAAATTAGTCCCATCAAATGAACTAGTGTCCACAGAATAGATACGCAGTTAAAACAGACAAGGAACCAGTGCACAAAGAAAATTGCAGAAAATAAGCTTCAATATCATAGAAGGCAAATCGATAAACTTGTTTCCAATCTGAAAAGCTTGTAGTTGGTGTCGAGTCGCGATTGGCTATGATCACCACTATATGAAGGTTACGTGCCAGGTATCGACGTGGATCCCTCTGTAGGCCAAAAACCAGGAGTCTGTTGATGGTTGCATTAAGACATATTTGTTTGCGATCTCGTGGTGTCGAAAGAATACCGAGGCGTGCCAAAGTTTACGGGCGGAACTGCTGAGAGTAAGAAAGTTCGTGCAAGGTCACGGGCAACGGGATGAAAAGTGCGTTTGGTACAATTATACAAACAAGTACAGTAAAACAATCTCTAGTACAATTGGTTATATTAATAATTGTTTCCATTATACCAATCGCGTTCTTGTTGTAAAAGTAAGTCACTACAAGCTTATTCCGTCATGCAGCCTAGTCATCAACAGTAAGGTATCAAGTCACTGTTGATTGATTGGCTCACTTTATATACAAATAGTCGAAATTTTGAGTTCAGAGGGGTTTTCACTTTTAGCACGCTAAAAAATGTCTCAGTGCTGTCCCTCGGGGTTCAGCACTAGGACTTCTTTTCTTAATTCACATAAATGACCTTCATCAGCAAGTGTCGTCTGATGTATTGCGTTCCGTTGACGATATTAAAATTTGTTGAAAACAAGATGACAAGTTGACCCTCCAGAGGGATTTCGACTGACTTGAAATTTTGGCGGATAACTACGGAGTTACTATGTGCACTTCAAAGTTTATATCAGACTGCGTGAGATATGTTGTACACTACATATATAACTATGAGGGCAGTCCATGGGTGAAATTGAGAAGTTCTAAGAATCACAGAAAGAGCCGAACATATTACATCCAATCAGCTTTTGGAAGAATATTCCAGAATCACTACATGTAGCTTCCCTATTGAACAAATGCTAATAACCCATTGTGGGAGGATTAGATTACTATAATGATGATTTCGTTCTTACTAAATTCTATAAATACCCGACAGTTTAGTACCATGATTGGAACTGTTTGAAACAACATTCCTTCCACTTGTCTTCTGTCTTCTCATTTGTGGTTTGGGAAGGTTTTAGGGTTCGAATGCTCAAGTTATACGCGGCATACTAAGAATCTAAGATCTAGATATAACAATAGCATGAATAACTCCTTCTGAAGGTACACTAAGTTGAAAAAGATTAGGGAGTGTCGGCACCCTATGATCTTAAGTGTTACGCTAGCTACGACAAGACACACCTTTCACTCCTTACTAGTAGTCAAATTTTAGAATTCTCTGGTGGCTAAGACGGCCCAAGAGAGTTCTCATGAGTGTTTTGCTCGTAAATTTGACATATCCCTCAGGACGCAGGAAATTATCTCGCCATGATTCACCAATATTCTTCCTTTTATCGTTAAATACGCTTAGGTTTCTACTTGGAGGCATCAATGTTACGCTGCTACTATAAACAGGAGACCGTGAAGTGAAAACCTTATATATTTTATCCAGAATTATTTGAACCATTTGAAGTTGTTATGTCTACTTACGAAAAATCGAATACGATGAGTAAGTGGGCATTTTATGGGACGTTTTCGATCATCCTACACTTCAAAGTCGACACAACAATACGCTTAATCGTAGAATGGCAGCAACTTAGAGTAAAACCCACACTTTGTCATTTCCAAACCATCAAAACATTAAAATAACCTTACACTCTTTACTGATAGTCAAATTCTAGAGTTTGATGTATGTGAGGTGATCCAAGCGTTTTTTAGGGTCATTCATGTGGAAGCTAGCACATTTTTAAGTACTCAGGACGGTATGTCACCATGATTTACCGAAAAATTTTAATTATTGAATATACTTAGGTAACTAGCTGAAGACATCGGTGGTCTACTGGTGCTCGATGAAGAAACCTGAAAAGCGAAAACTTCTTCTATTGGATCCACAACCAGATCCACAACCGGATAGGCCCCACGACAGAAGGATCAAGCACAAGGGAAAGCTGGAGCTGACAATTCCACTCGTGGACTGTCTTGATCATAAAAAAACGTGTAAAGGACAGGGACTACCAACTCGGTAAACATCGTATACGTAGGCTACCTGCCCACTCATGTACGAAACAATCAGACGCCGTCGCGCTTAGACTGGGTATTCACAAATGAAGAATTCCTAGTTGACGACCTCTCAATCCTGGCTCCCCTGGGCAAAAGTGATCACGCCGTCTTATCATTCAGCTTTGTCAGCAAGACGGAGCTACGATATCCTACTAGCAACAAGCGCTGGAACTTCAAGCGGTTGAATGTGTTAGCTTTACATGACTATCTACAACAGGTGGATTGTGATGTTCACCCTCAACTTGAAGTGGATGCTCATTGGGATTTTTTACTGCACACGATCTTATGTGCTACTGATCATTCAGTTCCTCAAATGGTCCCAAAAAGCTACAAACAACCTCCAATCATAAAGAACAGCACTCGTCGTTTGCTAAGCCGCAAAAGGCACTGTTGGGCTGAATATAAACGAACTGATAACAACGGCGCGTACAGGCAATACAAACATATAAGGAACACATGCACAAAGGCAATAAGAGAAGACAGGCTTCAGTTCCAGACCAAGCTTATCGATAGATTCGTCTCCAATCCGAAAGGCTTGTTCAGTTATGCAGCTTCTCTTCGACAAGGCAAAACTGGAGTTTCCCAACTGCTTGGTCCTAATGGTCCGACCAATAACGACAGTGATGCCGCTAACCTTTTGGCTGAACATTACTCCAGGACATTCCAGCTGACCCACATCAACGATACTGACGAAAGCTTCACCTGCACCTGTACAGGACTTTCCGAAGTGAACCTGAGTGCTGACCTGGTGCTCCGTAAACTGCAGCACCTAAGAAAAGACACTTCTCCCGGTCCGGACATGGTTCATTCCGCTGTATTGAGGGAAGCAGCTTCAATCCTGGCGACACCACTTAGCGTGATGTTTGCACACTCGCTAAGCAGAGGCAAACTACCGGAAATATGGAAGCTGGCCCACATCACACCAATTTTCAAAGGAGGTCGACGCAGTGAACCCTCAAGCTACCGACCAGTGGCCCTTCTCTCTACACCTTACAAAATTATGGAATCTCTAATATACGACGGTATGCAAGAATATTTATCATTCTCAAAGTTCTTCTCACCTCAACAGCAGGGTTTCAGAAAAGATCACTCTTGTATGGCTAACCTGCTGACTGCGGTGGATAGATGGACAACCATCCTTGGTTGCAAGAGGAAGGTTGACGTCATTCGCCTTGATTTCTCAAAAGCTGTTGATAGGGTCAACAACGTATGTCTTATCAATAAGCTTAGACGATTGGGTATCAAACCTCCTCTGATTGACTGGCTCGCTGCATATCTGGAAAACCGACACTTTAAATTCAGGATTAACTTCACTCTCTCTCAGGCTATGGAATGTCCAAGTGGGGTCCCCCAGGGCTCAATACTAGGACCTCTTCTCTTCTTGATTTATATTAACGATCTTCCTCAACAAGTCTCATCTGATTTATTGCTTTTGCTGATGATGTGAAACTTTGGAGAGAGGTACGTAATCACAATGATATACTAGTTCTGCAGGAGGATCTGACTCGACTTCAAAGTTGGGCAGACGACAACGGACTTACCTTCAACACTTCAAAGTGCAAGGTAGTCCATCTGAGACATGTTGCAGATTATAGTTATAACATAGGTAACTCACCTCTAGAAGTTTCCCAAGTTGAAAAAGATTTAGGAGTGTTGGTACCCTACGACCTGAAATCGTATGCGAACTGTGACAAAAACGCCTCTCAAGCAAACCTTGCACTGGTAACATTGAAGCTCATTTTTGGCCAGTTTGACGGTAGGACCTTCCACATAATCTTCAACAGTTTTATTCGTCCCCATTTAGAGTACGAAAACATAGTATTTCCTCCCTACCTCCAAAAGGATAAGAACACTCTGGAACGTATCCAACGTCGAGCCACGAAATCCGTTCGGGGACTCAAATTCAAACCTTACGAAGAGCGCCTCAAATCACTTAACCTTTACCCGTTCGAGTACAGGCGTCTTAGAGGTGATCTTCTTATGACTTACAGTATCCTTAATACTTCTGGTCATCCCCTTAAACAACTTCTTAAGCTTAGTCATAACACTAACCTGAGAGGTAACACCCAGATATTGGAGACCCTACATAACAGAACAGACTGCAGACACAACTTCTACTCCGTTAGAGTTGTCAAGTGCTGGAATTCGCTGCCGACTGAGCTAGTCCAAGCGACCTCCCAGGAGTCCTTTAAGAGAAAACTTGACTTATTCTTAAGGACTAAGGATAACATATTATTATGATTTACCAAATTCTTTTTTTTCCCTCTATTATCGTTCATATACCTAGGTTCTTGCCTTGAGGTATTGGTGATCTACTGCTACCAGACACGGAAGCCTGTTAAGCGAAAGCTTCTTCTATTACGTCCTCAACCATTTTAACCATTTGAACCATCTGAACGGTTTGGAATGTAGAGAATACTTATCAACCTCGGAGGGCGTTTTGTTCTCAAGGTTGCAATGAGCAAAAGATATCAGTGAGCTGGTCGAGCATAATTTCCGATTTTATTCCATAATGATTATCATAAAATCTGATGACTCAAGTTCTTCTAAAAATGACTTAGGCTCTGTTTAGTGTTTTATGAGTCAAAACTTCATTCAAAATCTATTTTTAAGTCAGTGGTAAGCTGGAAACCAGTCATAATAGCTTTTCTTGGGTGTTATTTTCACTTTTTCACTGGGAATAATAATTGCAAAGGTTCAAATGGGATGTCAGTTTTAGTTTTGAGTCATGTAGTTCAACATGTTGACGTCGACGTCAACATGATTGTTTGGGTCTTGCAAACCTATCTAATTGTCGTATATGCGACAGCTGCTATGTTGCAGATTTCTTCATTGATAAGTTGATTGAGTCATCAAATTCATTCAGGATTCCTCATCATTTGATCATTTATAAATTAATATTATCCGTTGATGAGTTCTTCCATCATTATATTAAGGATACGTACATTTAAATGTGTATAAATTCCTGAGTTGCTCAAGTAGGTATTTCGCAAATAATACTTGATCATCTCGGATATCATGGTGCTAGGTTATTCAATAGATTGTTGAAAAGTGATCATGCTTCCAGCCGTCCTAGTTGATGTCTTCGAATTATCAACTTTGTATCAGTATCAATGTTGTGAAAATATTTACTGCAAAATATTAAACTAGGACTTTGTAAGTTTGTTAAAATCGATGTGACTGTTCGGAAAACAAAGTGTAGTTAAGATATATGCTAAAGTAGTCTCTTCAGATATAATATTGGAAAAAACTTCATAAAAATACCACTTCATGTCTAAAATTGGATAAGGTTTAAATGGGTTTAATATCAAATTAAGGACGGTCGGAGCTACGATGTCTTCCTACCATGAGAAAGATGTTTTAGCTTCAATGTGAATTTATTTAAGCCATTTTATGCAAAATACATTCTAGAGACATACCCTTTTTCCGTGAGTCTTTCTGTTATCTTGTTCCCAAATCGCGATTGCTCTAATTAACTCATAATCATAGTCTTATGAAAACAGTCATCTGCATAGATACTGTGATAGAAATTGAAAACCATCTAATTGACAACTAAGATTTTCGTCGGCAGTTCATCAAAAGGGATGAAAGTTGTTTTCGCTTCTTACATTATGTAATTATTACGAATTGTAGAAAACAAAAATACTTGCCATATATTTGGTCCCAAACAGCCGCGTTTAGCCTGCGTGCTTCTCGGGTGGTATGGTGGGTATCGAAGGTTACTTATCTACATTTTATGGATACCATAAATGGTCTATTTTCCCAAAGACCTTGAAGGAAAACCTGTTCACAGCTCTGTAGATCTAATGGAAATAGCATACCTAGTGTTTTATTCTACTATGTAAACTTAAGTTGATATTTAGTGCTTTATCACAGCACTAACTTTTTGTTCCATATAAACCGTAGCTCGTTCTTATTTATTAAATCTTTTATCAGTGGTTATTAGTTCAGTTCTCTCCGTCTAGTTGTGATATTTCCCTAACACTTGCTCTTGCATCACTATTCTAGCCTGCCAGTCTATTTTCCCAGCTAATATCATAATTTTATGGTTGAATTCATGAGTCAATTAAAGCTAGATCACCATGGAAAACCTGAAAGCACTAGATGACCTGTTAATAATTATCATGTGCTCACTAGTGACTGGCTTTAAGAGATATTTCTAGGAGTTCTAGTGAGAAGCCGTGACCAGTGGAGTTCAGCTAGGCCTGTCGTGAGGTAGTAATTCATTGAAGACAATGGAAGATGGTCGCGCGATATTGTGGATTGGTTGAAGTTAAATATTAACAACATGGAATGTCGGCTCAGTGGTTTAGAGATTAAGCTTTTGAGAGCGAGAAGTGTACCGAGTTTGATTCCTGTGTGCGGTATCGTCGACACTCACTTATGGGGAGTCCCATACTAGGACGAAACGACCGTCCAGTGTCTCCAGGCTTTCCATAGTGGTCTAGCTTCAATCGACTAATGAATTCAACTATAAAATTAGTAAAATCCCCACAGAAACCCCCTTCTGATAATAATATCATAATTAACCATTTTTTGAACGGCTTTATACGTTCAGATTGATCTACTTATCAGATATACAAAAGTAAATATTAGGAATAAAAATAACTTTCTTCTTTGCGTGAAATGTCACAGGTTAGCAAATCTCAGAAACAGTAGATATTTTTAAAGTTCGAAATTAATCCGGTACTATTAATGTATCTGAACAGTATTTATTTAATTGCCTTATCTACATATCAAAGATTTTCTCGTCTCAAATCGATAATTTAGATTTGAATATGGCAGAATTCAGACTTGCCAAGTATATCCACAAATCGAGAAAGTTAAGGTTATTCTTCATCTTGAGCCAATTTTTTCTTATATTCAGTCTTCGTAATCTCTTAATAAAGTTTTGTGTTCCTTTGTACTGATAAACGCCTACGTCACAGTATTCTTTTGCAGTGTAGTGTTATTCTCCCATAAAATGACCGATTTATTTGTACTTGTGGATTTTTTACGGATGTTAACGTAACATTGTTCCATGTATTTTAGTGAAGATCATGAAAAGCATGGTTCCTCACGCAAACATCGGCGGGATAGCCGCTCGCGTTCACAGTAAGTATAACTAATCCCCATATATTATTAATTATTATTATTATCATTAATGGATTTATTCAATATACAATACAATATAGAATTCTCACCTGACATCCAAACGTAATTTGAGGAAACTTCATCCGCTATTTTGAGTTTTAACTACTTTTGTTGGTTTAAGAGGTTTTCACTATCTGATAGACAACCATACATCTGTAAAGCCTCAGGCTAACTTTGATTTCATGAAATGATTCCATAAATAAGTCTTACTACCGCGGACTATTTTTAACATTTATTTCTATTCTAGTCTGTTTTGGTAGTTGCTGAGCATAGATAACGCGTTTCGAAAACACATTGATTTTTGAAGATTAACCCACTCATAAATCCATGGTATATTTCTAGCTAGAACTACATTTTACAGCTCTATTCAATTGATGGTTCCACAGTACGGATAAAATCTTTCGAAGAGGTCAATAATCAAGTACACGCAACCTGTTAATATCTTCTTGTCTATTTAGTCCATTCGTATAGAGCTAACTAATGCACGGTATGCAGGCTTTTTGCTAAGTAGGCAGACATCTCTCCTGTTCTACATATATTACAAGTTATCAACAAGCAAAAGAGTTTGTGGCTATGGACAATTTTCGTCAATCACCAGTCTACAATGGCTGGCAAAACTTTAAAAATGATATGTTTAACATAATAAACTGCCTCACTACCTACGGATAAGTTAAATTTTGATACAAGCTTGACCTAAAGCAAAATTTATTAGTAAGGGTAAGAGAAACACATCTCAAAAATTTTATCATTATCATTCAATACTTACCATTTTCGTCAGACAGAACCACATCATCTCTGTACTACAGGGTGAGGAGGTAATCTCCAGATAGTAAATAGATCAACGAAAGTTCCGATGAAAACGGTTAGCTTTAGAAATATATCTGAGGCAAAGTATATATGTACACATTGCACCAAGTTCTACGTTGCGTTTGACTGACTGACTGATGAAGTATTCATAAATACGAAGAATTTACAACTGTAACAGGTACTACTTGGCATACTCGGTTCACGTAGTAGCTTCCTATGGGCTGCAGTTTGACCATGTGTTGCAAAGAGGGTCCAGTACTTTGGTACCCTTTTCAATGTTAAGGATTACCACAATCTATCTTGATTGGAAGTTCTAATTAATTCTTTCGGACAGATAGATGTTAGTATAGTTACCCATACCTATTGTTTAAAACTTGTCGTTTGCTTTTGTCAAACTATGCATTTCACGTGGGTCAAGGCACTGTAAACTTTGATGTAAATGGATACCGTGTACGAGATCTATATTTTCGAAATTTACCTTTCTAACTTTGGTTTGCAAACTCTGTTATAGTTATGTCACTTGATAGTGCACTTCTTTAAAAATATGTGTTAGTGCTAAATTTCAAATGCAAAATAATATACCCCTCTTTTATTTCAGTGATAAAGACAAAGAACTGCGCATTCAAATGAAGTAAGATTTCAATATTTTATTGTCTATTTAATTTTAACGCTACTTTTCTTAGGCCTTTGATGCTTTCTTCAGATAATGAATTAACTAGACAAAATGAAATAAGTTACATCGAAGGCTCAAGTTTCACACAGAAAAGCTTCTCATCTTCGCGTAAACAAGACACAGTAGGTTTACGCTATGCAAAACTGCTCATGGTTCTAAGTTCCATATGATTGTATGCTAAAGAATATTCATTTTAGCCTATGCTGCTTTTATGTTGTTGTAATCTGTTTTTTGAAGCCATTGATCCAGTTTTTTCACATTTGATTACTCATCATCAAGATCTATCTGCAATCTTGCAAAAGTTCATTACTTACCTAAGTTCTTAGTTTTCATCGCTCAACTAAAAAATCCAGGTGACAATTAGATTATGCAGCTTTAAGTGCCAGATGAAACAAAAATTTCATTTCAAGTCGCTGTTAATATGTTGAAACAAAAAAAATTATATAATTGGAACTTCCAGATTACTACCTACCGTTAAGCACTTAAAACGGTATACCGAAATGTTGATGAATAGTTAATTTGGTAAACATATCTTAAATCTGATCGATAAAACTAGCCTATTGCTGAACTATAAGTATATATCCTGTGACAGTTAACGTACAACATTTATATATGGCGGAGAGTTATGTAAAATATCAGTGGTCGAAATACCTTAAATACAATGTATTCCATTACAACCCAATAACTCTCTATGGCAACTCAATTGTTTATGGTTGCGTCGGCACAAAGTCAAAAGGTTTTGGGACTAAATTATCAGGAAAATTACTTTAATTTTGTTTACTTAAAACATAGGGATGTCCAGTAATTGATTAGGCTCTTTTTCTGTCTAACATTTAATGCGTAAACAAGTAGTCTTCCTTTATAAATGGATAAGTGTTTCGCAGTTTATTAAGTTATTCGGAACAACTTGAAGGAAAAATTTCAAGCGGGTAAGTATTTCCGGCAATTTTGTTATCAAGTTATATACTTACAAATTAACTATTCAGGACCCTTCAGAACATTTCCTCTATGTAAATCATCAGACTGTTATCCAAAGAGGATCTGGTCTAGTCTTGTTCACATCATTTCTCTTGTAGACTACAAAAAGTTGATTTTTACGTCAAAGTTCATCTACGCCATGGTAAATATCACCTCAATATTTATAATTAAATATACGCTGACAATTATTTGATGTTTTTAGCTACTGAATCCGGATTCATATTCACGGCCGACAGGTGTCAATTCAGGTCATTACTCTACGATGATTTTGGAAAGAGCACACGAAGCGGCCATATTTGGTCATTCTTCCGTTCCTTTACCTTCCATTCTCGGTACAGATCCAGATGAAGGCAAAGATAAAATAGTTTCTTCTGTGGATACAGTGAAGCAACTACTTCATCATTCGGTAATCTGCACTAACAAAGTTTATATTTCCTTGTTTCCGCACTTTACGTGTTGTTTACTGTAGCTATTCATGATTTTGAATTCATTGATGCTAATAAATTTATCAATACCCAAAGTTTAAATATACCTAAACAACATATCAGAATTAATACTTTGCGACCAAATAAAATACTTGAAAGTACAAATCTATCCACTAATAAAAAGCTGGAATGATTTCGTTGGTGTTACATTTTTTAAGCTGAATGGTTTGGTCGCTAAAGCTTTGCCATTCATTACAATGTCATACATACTTCCGGAAAAATCCAGTGTCTTGTTTATTTAAAAGCCACTTCTACAGTGTATCTTAATAAACTGTTGAAGATAAAAACCTTTTGGTCGACTAAATAAAGTCCAATGATAATAAAAGTCTATTTATAAAAGATTTATCCTAATCATAAATAATGAAACTCAAGCTGAATAACTATTCTCTTATACTGGAATTAAAACATTTCAGATAAAAAAGACGAAGAAACAGTGAAACTTTCTGCTTATGCATGAAGAAACTTAATTTTTGATAGGAGATAACTAACATGAATTAGTGACTCATTGCACAATTAGTTATTGCGTTATATTTCTTTTTGCTTCGATTCGTTCTCAGACTGGAAAAATATATTCTTCTAAATATTAGTTTGAGAGGCTTTAGTTAATTTACAACTCGTGCTTTTTACATTACGAGCATCATTAGTTTTAGGTCATCTGAAACACCCTAATCTATTTTCCCCTGGCATTGCTTTTTTCAATTTGTGTTCTATGAATTAACTTAATGGTTTATCTTAATTTTTGAGAATTCGATGCATATATATGTGTGGTGTTTGCTACTTATACAGACAGATATACGTAGTGTGTATCAAGATTTGGAGGTACAATCCTTACTGACAGAAAAGGAAAATGAAGAGAAGAAATGAAAAGCAAAGGCAGTCGGAGTAGCAACAAGAATGGAAGAACGATGGGTTTATATATATACGTTATCATGTTCTCATCTTAAGTATTCCTTAGCTCATGGTTTATCCATTCATTTATCAGGTTCAAATTCGTGTACTTGACTTCACTTCACACCCAATGTATAAGAAATAGTGATACTATTTAGTTACCTAAACTAAAGTGACTGTAGTAGAGATCGAACGTGAGATTCGATAATTGAAAGTCAAATACCTTAACCAATGATCCACTGATAAACTTATTCATTAACTTTATAACTTTTTTAATATTGTTCTTTTTCTAATACATTGTTATCACTTAATTTGTAGAGTAACATTTTACTTACACAGTAATCGTTTCCTTTCTTTTTTGTAAATTTACAGCTGGATAAATCTGATCCATCCGCATGGGATGCTTGGTTGGTAAAACTTGCTGAATTTAAGACACATCGAGTAAATAAGATTTCATCTACTATAAACACAAATCAGAAAAAGAGAATTAATGGAATTGGATAATAAAGTATACATTTTTTATACCTTACCAGTGGTTTGCTCTATTTAAATGATTATGGTTTTTATTTTCTGCAAATACAACATGTACTTTCTTGACGTATTCTTGTTATAAAACACATTACTGCAAATAAGTAAATTTAAATCAGTCGTAATAGTTTTTCTGTAACTCGCCAGATTTTCAAAATTGTAAGAGATTAAACGCTTATGTTTGATTGTGTTTGGATGAAAAATAATGCAACATAATTCTTAGTTGTGCAGGTAACCACCAAAAATACTTTCTGATCCCATTTTTGTACTTTTATGTACTTACGAGCATATTGTGTTTGGAAACTCCATGTAGTTTATTCTAACTCGAAAATTCTAATCTATAAAAGGTAATGCTGGAATAGATTTACTCTCAACTATCGAAATTTTATAAGTAGTATGTGATATTATTTCGATTCATGAAATTGGACTAGATCCCCAACTAGCCTGTAAATATTTATTACGATCAGGATAATTCATCAAAAAAAACATTAGGTGTCCCAATTCTTAGAGTGAAATAAAGTTTGATATTCTAGTAAAATCACTTCAATCAGAGCATCTAAAAAAACACCTCAACTTAATAGTTCCTATCTGTTAAATTTTCATTTGGATTTTCCTATTACCTTTATAAATCATTCCTTTGATCCATAGACTGATTTGAATTGAGTTCGTACCTGCTTCGTTTAACACAATGTGCTATTTGAAATTTTCAATTTATCTTGCTTTCAGTTTGAAAGAAATGGAATGTGCGCATTCTGTCTGGCTGGTTGCTACTGAGTTCAAAAAATCTATTTAAAACGATTTCAGCAAATCATTCGAGAAAAAGAAACTATCCCTGCTTCTTACCAACAACACAAATCTACCAAAGCACAGGAAGCTTCAAAGTCAAAGTGTACTAGAAATCATAGATTTATGCTTAACAACATACTTCCAATTCAACAATAAAAACCTACGAACAAACGAAAGGAATACCGATGGGATCACCAATATCAAGACTTGTTGTAGAATCAGTTATGCAACGACTGAAAGCATCAATCTTATCAGTGATCGAGCCAAAAATTTGGATTTGTTATGCGGACGACACATTCGTCATCATCAAATAGGATGAGCTGGAAAACACCTTCAAACTGATCAATAACGTCTTCTGTGACATATAGTTTACAATGGAACAGGAGACAAACAACAAACTGTCATTCTTGAATGTATTAATCGCCGGAACCGACACAGTTAAACTGGAGACTCAAGTGTACAGGAAGCCGACCACACTAATCAAATTCTCAACTACATTAGTAACAACGCGATAACTCAAAATCAACTGCGTATAAACTTTATTCAAGAGGGCGAGGACACACTGCAACACACTTGCAACGCGAAAAAGGGAAGAAAAATATCTAAAGACTATCTTTCAAAAGAACGGCTACCCAATCAACTTCATAAAAATATATCAAACAAACTCAGAAAAAAGATCAAGTACAGAAACCTACAAATGGCTCATCCTACCGTATATAAAAGGCATATTAGAAATTACTACGAGTTTGTTGAAGCCTTTTGGAATAGGTGTAGCACACAAACAAACATAGACACTTCAATCAATCCTATGCAAACCAAAGAACGGGATTACAAAAGAAAAACCGAACATCATCTACAAAATAAATTGTTCCAACTGCGAAAAACACTACATCGGACAAAGTGTATGTTCCCTTCATCTTCGCCTGCATGAACATCAATTGATGGTTAAACGCCATGACGCATCCTCGCCTATATCAATACATGTGGACACAAATTCGACTGGGAAAATGTTGAGATCCTGGATATAGGGAATTTTTAGAAGCTTGGCACTCAGGTCAATCAGCTATCAATTAAACATTGAAATCGATCCAATTTATCAACCAATCAGAAAAATTCAGTCAGTCAGCTACAACGTAGGATCAGGCACATATATGCATCGGTCCAAGTTGCCATACTTCATTAGTACAACAAAATGAACACCGAATTCATAGGAGCAGTTAATTTAGTGGTGGTAATATTTAAAAGAAAGGTTATATATAAGGATATAGTACAGGAAGAAAGACAGATATGAAGCAATTTTAATCTCAAGGTTTAAAGGAAGAAGAGTGTATACACCTACTCCATTGTGATCGATTACCAGCCATGTCACCCAGAGTCTTCACCCAGTGGTTACGATAGTCGCGCAAACCCCAACCAAGTAGTCTGCATCTACCAACATCGCTCAGACTAGACGTTAATAACTTTGTAGGCCGATGCCACGTTTTGGTTTGGCCACCCCTAACTCTCTTTCAACCATCGCCAATACTAGTCAGCATTGTGCGTCGTGGCAATCGGTGTTTAGGCATACGTAACACGTGGCCCAACCATTTCAGTCGATGAAGATTCATGACCTCATCAACTGATATACCATCATTTCCTAATACCTTGTGTCTAATCTCACCATTACTTAACCGGTGATCCCAGCAGATGCGAGCAATATTTCTAAGACATCTGTAGTCAAATACTAGTAACTTACGAGTATCATCTAACCTTAATGGCCATGTTTCGCAGCCGTAAAGTAAAACAGAACGAACTGCTGTGCATTATACTCGTCCCTTAATTGATAGACGGATATCTCATCTTCGCCATACGTGACGTGAGTTGGCAAAAGCCAAACGAGCTTTTTGAATTGGTGGAGAGGTCTCGTCAGACATGAACCCATTAGGGTTGATCAGATTTCCAAGATAAGTGGAGTTGTCGATGAGTCCAACTACTTCACTGTCCATCCTTAGTTCACGTGTTGACTCAGGCTAGACCTGGAATAACTATTTACATTTAGAGGGGGAGAAACGCATCCCAAATATCCTGGCATTGTTACTCAGTGCTACTAAAAGACTCTGCATTTTGTCAGCGTCTTCACCAAACAGGACTATGTCATCTGAGTATTCTAAGTCGCTTAATGAACCTCCTGGTAGGAGATCATTTCCTGGAAATTCAGTCGACGAGAACGTTATTTTGAGCAGTAGGTCCATGATGAAGTTAAACAAAATGGGGATAGTGGACAGCTTTGCGGGACACCATTCGAGGTCGTAAAACCATATGACAGTTCGCCATAAGCTCTCACTCGACTGGTAATGTTCGGTTAAAGAGATATCACATGGTTTATGTACTTCTGAGGTACTCTTCTCAATGACAGATAATGCCACAGAACCTCTCAGTCTACAGAGTCGAATTCTACTTTTAATTCAAGAACAACTATCATTGTTAGATGGATGGTGGCTAGCAGTGGAATCCAGGACGCGCGTTTCGTCCTATTTGGGACTCGTCAGCTGGATGTACCTGCATCTCAGAGTTGATGTTCTCTCTGATACTCGAACCCAGTACCTTTCGCTTCAAACGCCATCGTGTTATCCACTCGGCCACTGAGTCCTGATAGCCACTTGCTTGTGCAATGGAGTGAAGTTAAAATTTACATATGCCAATTAGAGACTGACCAGTTGCAGTCCTAAAAACATCCATGGGAAGATCCAAACAAACAATACTAAGTAAATATCATTGTTAGACAACGGTAAGCATGCCTGTGTTCTAAAACCTGACGAATAGTGAATATGTGGTCGATATAGTCACGACCAGGGCTGAAGCCAGCCTAGTTTCCCCGTGTTTGCAGTTCACGAGTGTTTTGTTAGGCGTCCGATATTTATTGAGGCTAGTATTTTAGATGCTATGTTAGTTTAACTTATCCTTCTATGATTATCACAGGAGGATTTTGACCACTTCTTATGTATTGGGACGATCAGTGATTGTGACCATTCAGATGGAATTACGTCCAACTCCCAGATTTTAGCCAGAATATTAGTCAACCTAATCGTTAAAATTGGACCACTATATATAAAGACGTCTGGAGCCAATGCATCAGGACCAGCTGCTCTTCCTCGTTTCAGATTAGTTATAGCCTTTTGAACTTCAGCTAGAGTCGGGAGACCTACTTCAATGTTCTCTTAAGGTTGTTTGGGATCGGTGGGTAATTGTAGAGCAGCTGAACTGCTCCTCAAGGTGTTCCGTCCACCGTTCTAAATGTCTGGGCTGAGAGCAGATAGGAGTTTCGTCTTTTTCCCAAAATCGTATCACACTAGAATTCTTGATTGCAGTATCTTTTGTTAGTCTGAAGTGTTCTCTGGTGTTGTCTACAGCCACTGCCGTACTTGTTGGGACCTTACCGTCGGAGATGGATATCCTTGGGATAAGGCGATGTGTGCATTTTTAGGGTCGACCTTTTCTAACCCCACCCCTCCTTGAGGGCAGCATCGCTGGTTTGCTGAAGGAAACACCTTACTGCTGTCACACTTCTTTACAGTCAGCAGTACGACTTCGCCTTCGGACCTTGGGTTTGCTGCTTTTAGTCTTACCGCTCTTCAACCGACCTGACTGGCATGGTAGGACCTTGAGAAACGATTGTTCCAGCCAATATAGCTCGACTGGTTCATCACGATAGGCAAGCCCGACCACCACGTCAAGGTAGCAGCAACGGTCGGACATACTAGCACAACGAGATACTAGAGTAACATATATAGCAACAGCATTAGTGATAAGAGAACAAATTAGGTATAGAGAATATGATTTGGGGAGAAACTATGAGTTCGCAGAAGGACAAAAATAATCTCGTTTAGAACAATCTGGAAGTTTAAGATCGAATGGAAGAAAAAGAGTAAATGCACATGCGCCATCGATAACTGTCCTAAAACACATTATCCACTCATTGATTAAGACAGTAGTGAGGATACAAACCAGGTGACCTCCACAGGGTTTCTTCCTCTTGTGCATTTCTTATGGTAGGAACGTGCTTTATAAAACTATACACTATCAGAAAAGTTTAATAACAAAAGATTAAGGAAATTTTCGATTATTTTTTTGAAATTCATTTACACTGAATATTAAATTTTAATGAATTACGGACAAACATGGGACCAAGAACCAAATCAATGGGAGATACA